AAACGCTCCCTGTCCCCATGGTGGGCAAGCCCAATGTCGATCCGCCGTAAACGCTGCCACTTTGCATTCCAAACAGAGTCGGTGGTCTACTTGGCATACCCGAGAATCCACCCATGTTACTTGAACGTTCCCATTCTTCGCCGGCAGCAGCGATGGCTTGTTGGGCCACAGCCATTTGATAAGCTTGCTTGGCGATCATCATGGCTTGTTGGTGAGCTGCCATCATGGATGGGTCCATACCCATCATCATATTCATGTTGGGCATGGACGGGACAGGTGGCAAAGCGAATCCAGTGGGCATTCCCATTCCGTTGGGCATCATAGAGTTGAACATTGGGTTCGGCTGCATCATGGGCATGTTCATCTGCATCATGGGATTGTGGAAGCCAGGATTCATATTGAACGATTGCATTCCAGGGGTGGTTGGACCCATTCCCATCCCCATTCCCATAGCCATGGCCTGCATTTGTTGGGTTTGAGCCATATTTTGCATCATATTCCAATTTTGCAGTTGCTCAAGACTGGAGCGACCTTCACTTCGTCCTTCCTCCTCATCTGGATCGGCGGCAGGTCCAGGTCCATTAACAACTTTGCCAAACTAATTATCAAAGTCAGCATGGCCGAATTCTGTGGAAGAGTTGTCTTACCTCAATAGCTGCCTTCGCTTCGCTGCGTCTTCTTTCATTTCGCTTGACGGCTTGCAAGTCGGTGCTGTCCCTCCTTCCACTACTAACGCTAGTACCACTCGCCTCTCTCCGATGTTTTCCAGCGGGGAATGCGACTGGCTCATCAAAAGTGACACTGAGCCTCTTTCCATGGGCCTTTCGTGGAATGTCGTTGGCCGAAGAGCCACTCGAGGAAGTAGTAGCAGAAGTGCTCGTGTTTCCTCCAATGCCAACTTCACTACGTGGGGTGACAGGAACACGACTGCTGATACTCGAGTAGCCAACAGAGCTAGCGCGGCTTTCTTCTCTAGTGAATCCTTTGTTGATGTGGTCTTGACCCCGTTGCGTAGTGGAAGAAGCAGGTTTAGCAGAAGAGGCAGGCTTAAGAAATGAGGGAGGAGTAGAGGTCTCGGCCTTTGGCGTTGTTGCAGTCGATCGGAAACTGGACTTGGGTGTCGTTTTCAGAGTGGTTGACAAGTCGATCTCGGACATGGGCGGTGTCAAAAGGGAACTCTTGATTGGATCCTCCCGCGAGGGAATTGCAATAGGCGAAGAAGTAAGGGTACCGTTCGTACTTGGTGTCGTCTTGGGCGACGAGGAAAATCCATCCAATGTTGGCCTCCTTCCTCTCGACAGAGGTGAGGTAGTATCCTTTCTATCCGGTATAGGACTGGGAGTGGAACCACGTTGTCCTCCAGCTTTTCCGATGGATGAAGGTGAGGCAGAAGGAGGCTGTGGTGAAGTGCGCGAGGTAAGGGCTCCCGCGCTTCGAGTACTACGAGTAGGCGATTGCTCCCGAGGTGGGATATCACGGAAAGAGCTTGCTGGGGAACCCCCCTGCAAGCTGGACGCCGCTGAGCCGGGTCTGCGTGGGGGAACGAGAGACGATAGCGGTGCATCGTCCTCCGAAGTGGGATCTTCTGTTTCACTTTCCGACGATGCCACTCTGTTTGGTTTAGGTTTTGCTACTGTGCTGAAAGAGCTAGGCTTTTGGCCGAGTACATTGGCCGAAAGCGACCGTGTGACCCCAGAAGGCTTGTTGGATGATGCAGATGCAGAAATCGTTCGATCATCAACTGTGGATCCACGAACAGCAGCCGGTTTGGATGCAAAAGAACCTATATTTAGTGTTAGCCCCACCGATCAGAGGGAATTTGAAAAGAATGTCACTCACCATGACCAAGCTCGGATTTAGTTGTCCCTTTGTAATTTTGAATGCGGTCATGAGAACCCTGTCTTGAATGTACTTGAGAATGCGTGTTGGACCATACGTCAACAGACTCTGCTGTTTGTGCAGAGGGTGACCGATCCTCTCCTCCGGCAACACTATATTCACCGGGTCTAATATTTTGAGGTGAAGATGACGGTGTCAATGCAGATCTAGAAGGAGTTGGTTCCAGTCTCGGAGAGGCGTTTGGCTGTGGAGCCTGATGTGGGCGAGTGGTGCTACTGCTACTGTGTCCAAGGTCAGACTGAGAAGCAGTCAATGCAGTCTTGGACCTGGAAGCTGACGCAAAGGAGGAAGGATAGGGGCTCGTCTTGGTTTCGGCTTCAGTTTGGGGTGGTAATGGAGACTTCATGTTTTGGAAATCAGGGATCAGTG